TTTCGATTAGTTGTATAACATTTAGATTAAATTATGCACATAATTATCAAGTAAATTAAGGAAATTATAACGTACTGTACATAATAACCATTTGCGGACAAGTGGCGAATATATCCGACATATTTAGATTAATTAAGTGTTTCTATTATTTACCTTAAACTTCACGGATCACCTGAAATGAAATTTTATAAACATTATATATTTTATATTGGTGGTTTTTGGAGAGGGTAAATAAATAAACACCTAAACAAATCTTACATTTTCTTCGTTTTTAAACGTATTTATTTTCCATCATATAGAAACATTCATTAATTACGTTCATAATACATTTATTGTAGATCTTTTTTCCCTTACGTTTACATTAATATTAAGTTGTGTTATTCATTTATGTATATTCCATATTTTAAATTTTGGGTTTATATATATATATTATTTTTCTCTCATTTTTTTTTAAATAATTTCATTTATTTACTGCAGTTACCTTATCCATTGTTTATATACTTGTTGCTTGATACAATTCCTTTTTTTAATATATATATATATATATATGTTTATATATCTAAATATATGTGTATATAAGTATTAATAATAGACACACAGTTTTATAAACTAAGGATGGGGGTTTATTTTGGTGGTTGGTGGTGGAAACTGGATTTTCATCAACCGAAACTCAATATTAAAAAAAAAACTAACGAAAAGAAATAATCTCGAAAGCAGATTTCTTTCAGAAACATACAAAATGTATCTCGATAATTACGCGAATCTCCTTGAATCGTTACAACATACATCAAAAATATAGTGAATTAATAATACATAATTGAATGGAACAGAACGGAAATTGTACTCACCGCACATTCGATACTTACTGGAACATAAAGTGGGTTTCGTTACGGGCCAAATATAATCGTTCGAAATGAATAGCGGGTAGGGGTGTTTTGTCCAATCTGATACATATATATTTTTTTACATGTGGGCACGTATATCACGCCGGTGCTTAAGTTACTAAGATCTCTTGATTTTTTTGGTAGTCTTGAGCCCGAATTTAATGGGTACTTTTTTTTGGGTTATATGCATATACTTTTTTTTTTATATATTTCTTATATTTTTTTTTGATCATCTCCATCATCTCATCTAATTTTGCTAAATGCTACCTCTATTGAACAACACTTACGTAACGCTGTCCATTAAATACATTTAATAACTCCAGGGAAGGTGGCTAAATATTCGGTGTTAGAAAAGGGGAGGTGTGGTGTCACGTGTGTAGGTGTCTGTGTATTTTGTGTGTGTTGGTGGGTGGAGGAGGTTGTGTGTGTGTGTGATTTTATACTTTGATTAGGTGATATCGATTATACGTTGTGAGCTACTGGGTCAATATCGCAAGGGATACACGTACTACTAATTAATTCTAGAGATTGTGCATGCTGTTGAATGCACCGTTTGCTGTGAATCGAAGCCCGTAATTCCAGCCCCCAGCTGCAAAACATCGCCGGACACCTATGTTCCTCGATTGGCAGGCCGGGGGCGGCGGTGTACCACGGCCCTGCTAATATTACATTATTTTCTGCACATGGATTACTTCGCATCGAATGCCGATGCATACACCTACGTGTGTTGTAGATATATACATACATACATTCGATTACACAAACATTTATCATAAACATAAACTATGGTTAACTATGGTTTTACGATGGTTAGGAATTGGAGGAACCGAACAGGATCCAACTTCCATAGCGGTAATAGCTGATGGCAGCTGGACTGTTCCATGATTAGGCGAAGACTTTGTGATCGTTACTCAAGTAATCGTTACCGCTTAACAAACGCGCACCTAATTATATATTCGGTACTCTCATCTAAAATACATAAAAAACAATAATTTAAAAACAAGAAAAGAAAATTTCCAGCCCAAAGTCAAGAAATATCCATTCAGAGTATATATAATATTCAACGTAATACAAAAAAATCTACCTCATGCACACACAAGAAACAAACACTTCCAATCCAAATCCCGTTTTCTCATCTAATTCCGCGAAGATAGCTGAGTAAATTAATGGGTTTACTTATATAAGTTTAGTAACGAATTGAGTATGATCTATCCCTAATCTAACTATTCTAACATCTTCTATTATTTTATATATATTATTTTGTTTTCAAATAGAAATAAATAGTTAACCTTCTCCTGCATTGGGTAATGATTGAAATTAAAGACGGGGGTGGTCCTAGAGCATGGAAACAACTCAAGTGTACCTTCTGGAATTCATTCCGCCAACCCCCAGACACGTGCACTCAATTACGGCACACGCCGCCAGATGAAATCCCTTATATTTATCAGGAAAACGGACAAAATACCTTCCAAATGACATAGTCAAATACACATGTACTCACTTGAAAGTATACTAAGTCAAAAAATATTTAAAGTGAACTAAGCTGAGACCTCCAACGACAAGCCCGACAATTGACGGTAGTGCTCTTGTCTGAGGATTTTCAAAAAGGCATAGCTCATTTCAGAAGATGTTTCATTCCATACTTTAGGACCATTTTTCTTTTTGAATACGCATTAAAATTAATGTCGTAATCTTCTAGTAAAATAAATATTTCATTCCATTCTTCAACACTTAGATCGAAAACGAAGTTGATTCGCTTGAGATTATTTTAATCAAAGAGTTTTAGTTCGAAAAACTTTTAATACCATTCTGTTCTTTTTAAAGCTTAGAATTCAGTTCTGATTAAAAAACATAATATTTAGATCATTTCAAACTACAACTAAATATCAATAGAATTCAGATTTGTAACAAGACTTCCAAGATTTTGATATTAACATTGATTCAAATTAAAATTAGTTCGGTCGAAAAGATCAAATTCAAAAAAATTCAAACTTTTTATTTTGAAAAAGTTTGATAGAAAATTTGTTTCAATTGAGGTATTGAAAGAATTCAGAACTGATTTAGAAAAATTTAATATTTTAATCTTTCAAAACAAACAATTTGTTATTTAGGTTGTTTCAAACTAAGACTCTTCAATATTTTAATTATAATTCATAGATTGCAACATCGTTATCCTGATTATTTAATTATAATGATTAACGAAGTTGCAAAACTATAGATTGGAAACTTCGAGGTATTTACCTCGTCGTATTTACGTACTTATCGATTTGGAGGTACACCGATTGTGCCTCAATTTAGGTCCAGAACCGCAAATCTTTTTGGGCAAATTCATCAGTGGAAGACCTGAGTTATATAAAGCTCTATCAATGGTCCCAGATTTTCTTCTCTTTATTAAATTTTCTCAAGTTAATGCACTTTTCATATATATATATACATTATATAAATACATTAAATATATAAATAAATATTTGTTTATTTACACATTTTTATTGGGCCTAATTTGGACCAAAGGGCTATCAACCTAAGACTTCTTGCCCTAAATATATATATATACAAAAAGTTCATTGAACTGTCAACAATAGAATAAAAAGCTTAGATGGTTTCAAATGTCAATAAAATTCCCATTGTTCTCATTAATTTTAACTCGTTATTTTGTAGCTTGGAATTAAACTCTCTCGAATATATGCATTCTGCACAGTACAATAACCCCTGCGGTGGTTTTATTTATACGTTCATCAATTTTTCATTGCAATTTGTATAGTTTATGAAGCGAAAATTAATTTTAAACAGTACATTCGATTTTGCTTCGCTAACCATAAATATATTATATTATTTTTATTTAGCTTGAATATTATTTATCTATTTACGGTTTATTTCACAGAAAACATATTTAAACAAGTTTTTGATAATAAATAAATTTAATTGTTTATATTTTTTTGTTGTATATTTAAATATGAAAATCTCTATAAATTCGTTTTTCAAAACTGTTACCAAACATAAATTTAATAAAAGTTATATTCTTTTAAAAGTGATAAATTTCAATAAATTCTATTTTTGAGACAAGTTTTAAATTATGTTTTATAATAAAATCTTTGTTTTATTTTGTAGATCGAGTGAACTATACTATAAGATTTGGTTGATTAAATTGATTTGCCTTTGGTTGGAATTGAAGTCGACGGACTTTAGCATTTTGAACGCAATATTTTATTGCGCAATAAATAGATTAATAAAAACGCGCTGAGATCCTGAAGGTTGATAGCCTATAAACCCGAAAGCATTTGCTTTATGCTGCAATAAATATATTTGCGTATGATCATCGTATATTATATAATACATTAATTCACTATATAAGTTATAGTTTTCTCTCAAGCGAATCAACTTCTCTTTGAGGACATGAAAAGATAAAAACAAAGATCAGACACAAATTTACTCTTCCCTCTTCAATCAGAAATGCTACTTTGCACTTTACTACCCTTGACTCATAGAAAAGACAGTTTACTTAATAGCACTGCCTCTGTTTACACGGTTGGTGGATCGATTTTTGTCTTCACCTATTGTTTATTTTTACAGCGCGTCGTCGAAACGTGATTTTTTTATGCAATTAACGAGTCTGCACAAATGGCATTTCGGTTTGAGGAGGGTTTGCATTGTCCTCGACAATGACGGATTTATCGATTCGACAGGTATTGTCGGTGTGTCGAAAACAGCGAAAAAAAAGAAAAGAAAGAAAAGAAGAGTAAACTACAGAGTAACATGGAAATTATACAATGTGCGTTCCATTTTATTCCAATTTTTTTTCTCTCTCCTTCTTTCTCTGGCTATGCATTTTTTTGCGAAGGTCGACAACCTCAGTCTAATATATCACAGTCCTAGTACTTCTTTCTCATCCCATACTCATCTCATCATTTTCAACTGACTTTCATTCCTTGGAATCCTTCGAATTCCCTTAAAAAACAAAACGATGCCATCATCCAATCAGTCCGACTAATTATAATTAGGTGTGCTCAAAAAAACAAAAACAAAATGAAAGACCGCTTTAGTGTGTATGTTTTTATGTATTATTTATTTTTTTGCTTAATTTTGTTCGTTTTTTTTTTTAGTAAAGAAGACAACTTAACGTATTATACTTATTTTTTTTATTAATATATTTTTTAATAAATTCACAGTGTGTCGATTATTAGTGTAACTATATTGTAATGTAATGTAAATGAGGGTGTGGGGATGTCGAAACGGCGGTGGGGGTTGTTTTGGGTACAAGTGTTTTTGTGTGCGTAGATTTTCTTGTGATTATTAGTATAAGTGAAGGAAGGAGTTTTTTTTACTTATTTCGTCCTTCTTCAGAGGGTGGAGGTGCGTGTGATCGAATCGCTACCGCTATAATGTAAATATATATCACATTGTTATATTGTTGAGTCAGCGGCGATAGGATACATTCGGATATACAAGGTTTTTTTTTTGTAGGTAGGTACATATTGGTCTTGGTCACAGAGATTTTGGACCAGGGTCTAGGATGAAGGAAAGCCATCGCGATCCATCTGAGAGGATGCACCTATGATCGGCGACGCGTCTTCTACTAACAACTAATGATGATCAGGGGTCAGGAATACAACACAGATAGGTTAGTGATAGGTGGTGAGCGATAGGTCAATGGGTGGTTAAGGTTAGGGGTTTTGGGATGGTGCTGGTGATGTAACATCTTTCTCGGTACATTTTGGGCATATAAAGGTTTTTCTCCTTAATACTTGAAATTACGATTAAAAGAAAAGAAACAAAACAAAACGTCATATGCAAACCAATGTTGTGTAGTAGTCCGTTCAAAATTTTCAAACTTAATTTAATGGTCTCGTACAGGAATGATCTGAAGAACTCTAACTTGGCGTGCGCCCGGCTAAAGATCTTGCAATACCAATGACCATAACTTATAGACAACTTCCTTTTCGGTTTTCGACAGCCCTTTACATTCAGCCCTTCCGCGACGCTGCCCGAGTTATTGTCTTATTCATTTTGTTGGGTTCAATTTCGTCGGCGTGTTTTGTTTTTTTTTTTCTTTTAAAAATTTTCTGGTGGTAAATCGCAAATTTAGGCCTTCAAATAATCATAACAACCGTATCCGTCAAACGCAAATTAAAGTAATCTTCTTCTTCCTCGACATTATTTTCTCTTTCTTTCTCTCTCTCTCTCTCATAGTTTTTTTTGTTTAAAGATCTTTCCATCTTTTCTTCTTCTGCATATTTACGACAACATAAACACAAATCTAATCTGAAACAATATTGAATCTGATATTGCGGAAACGGGATGAAATCGCAAAACAAATAGTTTAGGCCGTACAGCAAATAGCAAAAACGAAATGAAAATAAGTAAATGCGCTCTCTCTCTTTTTTTTCCCTCAAAACAAATGATCTAACCGTTTTGGCTGTCGGAGTCGTGGATTGACTCGAGGTCCGGCTCGATGTTGCCATGTTGGGCCAAGTTCTTGTACAAGGCCGAGTTGACGAAACGCGGATAGCTGTCTCGATGCATCAAAGTATAGATCTGCACTTGAGCCTCCTCGAATGTATCTGGTGTTGGATTCACCATGTTGCGATTGACGATCTCCCTGACACGAGAGTCCAAAGATACCTGTAACATTAAATACACTTGTCAACCCATCCATCCCCCCAATTTTTATAAATTTCATATCATATATCTGCTAGATATGATCCTTTCAAACTCATAAGACATAATCTATAATTGATAGTAGCATTTATAGTAAGTAGATAGTAGAAAATGTATCTTTCAATTAGAACTTTAGTTGTCTTAAAAGAAGACAGTTTAAGTCCAGTTTCTTAAGATCGAAATTAATTGATTTATTTATGACCTTATTCATTTTAATAGATTATATATATAGAATACTTTAGACCTGGAAACATAACGAAATTCCTTAATATTAATAACAATAAAATTAAGAACTGAAAATTACCTCTTAAAGCTTTAAATAAAATTAATCCACTTTAAATGAATGTTATATATTGGACATGATAATTTTAGAGTAGTTTAAGTCAATTTTTTAACGTTGGGATCCAAATATGTATATAATTAATTAACGACTACTATATATTTGATATAGTAAGATTAGAGTACTAAGAAATAATTGATCCGGACAACCTATGGCGATATATATCGAATATACAGAGTTTATGAAAAATTAATGAAGGCATAGCGTTTAGGCGGTGTTCGGGGAGCGCGGGTAATAACTGGGACCACTTTAGAGTCTCCAGCGGTTAATGAATGAGTTAAACTAATGTTCAGAGATGCATCAGTTGAGTTGAGTTAGTTTGCGGTTGGAGGCTAAAGTGGTCCCGCGGTCGTGATACTGCGCAACGGAAGATGGCTTACTTCTTTCGGAGAGAGGATCGAGATGTAGTCCTCGTAGATGATCCTTGCCTTCTCCTCGACAGATTCGGTGCTGGTCTCGATCTTCAAATCCTCACAGGCCAACCAGAAGAGGATGTTTTCCTCGGAGTACTCGCACTTCAGAAACTCACGGAAGAGCCGTCGACCAGCTGCAAATGAAAGGGACGACGATTGTGATGAACTGGGTGATGACATTGAAACAGCTGCACGTGTCGGACGTGATTATTGCGAGAGCCGTATCAACATCGATTGCAGCAAATGGTATTAGCATACGTACCGAATGCATATATTCACATACTCATACACAGATGTGTATATGTATACACACATAAACGGTCGCAGTTATACTGCACTTGACATAATTAATTTTAATTAATTTAATGGAATTGAGATGGGGATGAGGGGTTGGCGGATTTATCGGAAACTCACCAGGACTCCTCATCAATTTGTCGAAGGATTTGCCCCATGTCCTAATCTCTTCAATTGGAGCCCTGAAAAACGAGGACGGATTAGATGCGACGATGCAGCGAGATTGGCCGAAGGTCACGACTTACTGTGGTTCAGAATCGTAGCTGGTAACATCGGAATTGTTGGGTGTCTTAGATGGTCCATTCTCGATGTTACCATTAGACGGCGTGGTACTGCAACAAAAACTGTTTTGCTTCACTTCGCCACCATTCATCATCGTTATTTGTTTCCATTTAGAACAACACCAACAACAACAGCTATAAAAGAAGAGGAATTAGTGTAAAACTAGAAACTAGTAGAGATCGGGATACGTTGAAGAGGACGTACCCCGGGAATATCGTATTTGTTCGCATGCAAACCACTCTATCATCACTACGTCAGTAATAACACTCTTATCTGGGCACCATTATTGGCCTACTTGTATAAAAGGGGAATTACCGACTTACTGAAAATAACAGAGCTACTAAAATAAATCTATTAATCATGCTAACATGCTTCAAGTGGTTCTGATGATGATACTCACACTTTTCCATTCTTAAATGGTCGATGGACGAAGCTACAGAAGAGGGTAATGGAACAAAACATAGAAAATCTTTAGTTTTAGTTCTTCACAACGGACATATACATTTATTTATATACAGATGTGTAAGTTAAGTGTCAGGCCAAAAGCTTCAGGGAATAAACCTTGGGAATTGTTATCCAACAATGGAACGCCGCCGAGGGGACGGGAATGTTCACATTGCCGTTTATGTAAGGAGTTACGGTCAATAGCCCTTCCGTCCTAGGTACGTCATCTTTGTGCCTCTAGTTCAGTCAATAAACACAGGCATTGTTTTTCGTAGGATGCTCTCACAGAGCTGTACCCCATTTCGAAGGTAAATAGCAGATAGACGATAAGTCAATAATTTAATATTTGCACTTTTCCATTGTCTTCTGCTACTATTGAAACGGTGCTTATATCATCTAGTAATGTGTTTTTGTTTGCTTTTATTTCACCGACTTCGGAGAGTGTACACTTGTAATCAATAATAACAATTTTTGTTTCCTCTAATTCGGAAGTAATTGTAATGGTTTCCAATTCGTTAAAAAAAACCTCTTCACCAATTGAAAAATTAGAGCACAAGTTCAGGAAACGTCTTATTTGTAAGAAAATTTTAATGAACAAATTGTTTAGTTTTCTTTTTTAAGCAATTAATCTAACTAAAACTGTTTTTGTTTCCTCTAATCCGGAAGTAATTGAAAAGGTTTCCAATTCGTTAAAAAAAAACCTCTTCACCGATTGAACAATCAGCGCATGTACTCTGGTAATGTCTTATGTAAGTATACTTTATATTATATAACACATCAATTTTAAATTTTCTTTTTAAGGAATTTTTCAAAGTTAACTTATTATTATTCTTTTCTTTCTTCGATTTTGAATAATCCACATTTATTAATAAAAAATAACAATTTCTGTTTCCTTTAATCTTATGTTCTAGATTAAAGGAAACAGAAAATTTTCCAATTCGTAAAAACCCATCACAAATTGTTAAATTGAAACAAGTCTTCAGCTATATTTACAAAAAAATTTATGTAATTACGAATTTTTCAATTAAATCTGGACAGAAATGTCCAATAAATTATGTAAATTGTAATAATTATGATAATTATTTTAAGTTCTCAGAATAATTGTCTAATTCGAATCTGGAGTGATTGGAAACACTAGAAGAAAGCTAATCATTTTAAAGTTTTCAGAGTGCTCTTAGTCTATTTGTCGTAACTGAAATCTAACTACCACCCAATCTCCTTCGGCAATTTGTTCACTTTAAAAATTGCCCACGGAGGAAGGGTTGGTAGTCCGGATTTCCGAAGAAAAGTTTAAGTAAAATTCCTTCATTTTTTTTTGTTTCTCAAGTCCTTCGAGACATACTACTGAAATTTTCGATACTTTTAACCGATTCCAGCTAATTTCAAACTGTTTTCCATTAGTCACACTAAAGCTTTTCAAGAAACTTTATTTCCTCGTCTACATTTACAAATAACTATAAAACACTTTGTTACTATATTAGTTTTAAAGACAATATCACTTTGTATATTTACAAATTTTCATAAATACAGTAAGTTTTAGATTACTACTAATTTATATTACTATTAATATTATGTACATTATTTTATTTTTCTTGGCACAAATTTTCGTAATGATTTTTACATATTTATTTTTCTAAATAGATTCGGTTTTTCTGAAAGTAAATTACAGTTTTGATACTCGACATAATTAAAAGTGCGAGATTAAGAATGTTGTATAATCTGAAAATTGAAAATGTTTTAAGATAATGTTTGCATGTTATTCGTAATTATAAAGCTATTGGTATAAAATAATATTCGGTATAAATTTAGGAGTTCATTAAGAAACAATTTCAGATTTCAGATACAAATCAGCGGATCAATCTTTTGTTTTTTGCATGCTTTAATTTATCAAATAGAAAAGCAGAAGTAATATTGTAATGGCGTTAATAAATCGCATGCAAAATTAATGTACGCGTGTGTTTGAAAGAGAAAGAGACATGAAATGAAAATATTACTTGTGTACGTATCTACATCTTAATTTTCCTCCCCCCTAATGGGCATTTAATGGTGTCGTTGGCCTCGAGGCGCGACGCCTTAATGGAAAACCGATTTTCTTTCTTCCCATACAATTTTTTCCACTCTCTTCTTGTTCGCAAACTGCAATCATTCGGTGCTTTGCAGACGGATGGCGTTCAATAAATTCGAACGGTTCGTTAATTAAGTCTCGAATTTTAAAGCTCGACCACCTCTGAACCTAGACGGAGGATCAGTCTAGAAGTTTCAGTACGTAATTGAAAGTAACTGCTTTTGGTAATATCAGATCTTAATGACAGCCAGGCCAGATAAGGTACGTGGTAATGTTAATAACTTATGTATGCAATTTACCCATTTACGACTGTGGAACATGTGAACGAAATATTATATTCCGCAAAAGAATTTGACGTGTAATTGGACGCCGCGTGGAACACGTCAGGAAGGTCGATAGCGACAGGTAATTACGTAAGCACATTACCTAACGTTGGGTCCCCAATAGCTCGGACATATATATTATTGGTACCCTGAAATTTGAGATCCAAAATTCAAGATTTTAGAATCTTAGTTACCAAAATGTATATCAGACACATGAGATCAAAGATCCGATTTCTGATATCGGTTACCTCACTTCTGATATAATTGATCAGATGTTCAAAATTGAAGATCATAAAATATTAGATACAAAAATTAAATTGATTGTAAACACATTAAATCTTAACATAACTTTTGATACGAGAGAAATACAAGATCCAAGATTCTAAAATACAAGAATTGACATCACATATCTAAGATTCAAAATTAGAGATTGAACATCAGGGATACCTGATAGTTGAAACACGCGATTTGAGATTTAAGACTTCGGGTCAAAGACCTGATCTTCAAAGACACGTTGAATCAAACGTAAAGCAACCATTCGCTATACGTAAAGTTTATAAACGTATAATAAAACAAAACAGTATTATTGAAATGGCTGATGAATACGTTAAAAGCGTTGGATAACTTTTGTTTCCTTTCTTTACAATACTAGCTCACGTGAAGATAAATGAGTATTTTCTATTACTATGTAGAAACGTCGGTGTGTATTTACAATCGATGCGGAAAGTTGGATGTTGTGTAATGTGCAGAATCAGCGGGTTCAAACAAAATATTAATGAAAAGCGTACAAATTAACGAATACAAAATTTGGTATCGATCTGGATACGGGTCGACGACCTGACCGAATTGAAAGTACTCGCGGAATTAATACCCATCTCTGCGTGCTTTGTTTCCTATTTCTTTTTTTTGTTCCTCTTTTTTTCCCCATTATTTATCCTGCTGCCGAAATATAATTGTGTGCCATTGCGAATGCGTCGGAGTCCATTGAAACCGCACACAGGCTTCCATCCCCCTATTAGTGTTCAATTCCAATTTCCAACCTGATGGCCAATATTTCCCTCGACGAATTTATTACCGAAATCATAATTAAATGTATACAGCACATGCTGTTGCGCTACAAACTCTATACATTTTCACCACGGTATTGTTGAAATTGCTTTCAAATATTTTATTCCAACGAACCAGTATTTTCATTAATTGGTAGCAGCTTTGAACATTTAACACAGAAATTTTAAACTAATATTAGTAGAAATTTCGCCTCACATATATATGAAATAAAGTACCTGAAATGAACTAATCCTCCTAACCGCAATATGTATATGTTCAATGTTGCTCAAAACGTTTTCCTTTCCTAATTTTTCACGTAAATCAAATATAAAAAACATTCCATTAAATAATATTTAATTAATATTAGAAGAAATAAAGCAGAAAGAACAAAAATGGAATTCATAAATTGCAATGAATGGAATTTAAATTGAATTATGTGCGTATGTGTGTTTTTCCCTTGTTCTGACCTTTTCTTATACTTCCTATAAATACGTTTGTATGAAAGAAATATCGCCCTCTTTAAGATCCTGAATTTAATTTGTTTCTGTTCGGTTTCGCGCTTTTATACCCCGGAGGAACGTACACGTTCCATAAATTATTCAATAAATACCTACGGGCTTAGCGCACCCCAGATTCTTTTTTAGGTGCGTTTCCAACCCCAGTCACAATTTGGATAAATGAACAAATATAAGCAAAGAACGCTTGAATTGATTTTCCTTTCATAGAAATAACAAACCTGTTCTTACAAAAACATATTAATCGATAAATATGTATGTTTACGCGTTATATTTTACGCCTTAAATTGAAACTATATTAACTTATGAAGTTTTTCAAGTGAATTTTACTGTAAGTTGATAAATATAATATGAATTCAAAGAACGATGTGGTTTATTGTTTGGAGGAATTACAGTGGCGTTGTTTTACTGTGGTTTACTTTAAAACTGCAGCAGCAGAAGGTGAAAGATAATAGGACGTAATTTACGTAACGTAAATATTGGACTAAAGTTTACGTGAAGAAGAAAGATTTTCAGAAAAAGCTAATTCGCTCTGCATTCACGTGCATATCGGATACGCCATTACTTATTGTTTCACCTACGTTAATGATGATCTAATTACTTGTAAATAGTTACAAAAGATTTTTTATATAAATCTGCAATTCCGAAGTTCAACTTTTTTTTGTTAGCAATTATGGTACAACGAACTTCGGCAAGGCATAGTGTGCGTGTGCTTTAGCTTTAATTCAATCGCAGGGGATGGGCTGGAGGTGTAGGAAGGGCACAGAGAGTAACACTTTGATGGGCCGTTGCACCGGCTGCACCCTAGAAAAGCACCTAGATCGTGAAACCCTTTAAACTCATTTCTCGCAATTAATGAATGCTATCGACCTATACTACTGGTCGCTATAACCAATACTAACAAGAAACCACCCCCATAGCTTTCAATCTGAAGCCCTGTGTAGGATTTGCCTAGACGTTTCAATTTAAGATTTAGAAATTTCGAAAAGGCTTTGCCGCTCACGTCGCAACGGAATCATATTCCGTCGCCTTCGCTTAATGGAGACATAATGCGACTTCAAATAACGTTGGATGTTGTTGCGTGGGTGGATGGAAACGATGTTTCCTCAAGGCAATGAATGGAATACGAAGAAACAGCCTTGTGTATGATTCGAAGTCGCATCGGAAAATAAAGATGTAGAAGAGCGGATTTGTTCGAGTGTGCATTTCGTTTATTCTGGTAAGAAATAAGGATCTTGCATATTTGAAGTCTGAGGAAGATGAGATGTTATGAGTTTCGCTGCCCGATGAAATTTTGTTTGATGATCGCTACGTCTATATTATTTATGTCCGTGTATTCTCGAGCTCTTTCTTATATTAGATTTTCCTCAATTTTTCCGTATTCATTGAATTTTAAATGCTTTGCTAGAGTTTCATTTTTAAAGGTCAAAGTATTGAACTTGATCTGCTACGTACGTATATTATTTGAACTCACAAAGCGTTTTCTATTTTCCTGGAGGAATTTGTATCGATTTCGCAAATAAATCATATGTTACCTCAAAATATATTTCGTGTAATCCAAATCTTTCCTTAATACAAATTCTATTTATATGAATGAGTTTTGGTTGATAACTTAATGAAATATATTAATAAATTAACGTATATTATTAGAAATTTAGTACGTTAGTTATCAACTTTTGGATGGAAGTATGAATGAGTTTGGTTGATAACATAATAAAATCTATAAAAGTTGAACAAAGTAACGTATATTATTATAAATTTAGCACGTTAGTTTGTAGGGAAATATGAATGTGTTTCGGTTGAAAACTTAATACATCAAATTTTAGTTGATCATACTATATGACTATACTAACGTATATTATTCAAAAATTAGCACGTTAGTTATCAATTTTTGGATGTAAGTATGAATGAGTTTTGGTTGATAATTTAATAAAACATATGAAAGTTGAACAAAAGTATATTACTACATTAACGTATCTTATTAGAAATTTAGCACGTTTGTTATAAAGTATGGAAGGAAACTGTGAATGAGTTATGGTTAATAACGTTATAACATATTCGAGTTGAACAAAGTACATGACTATATTAACGTATATGAAATTTAGTACGTTAGTTATCAAATTTTAGATAGAAGTATGAATGAATTTTGGTTGATAATTTAATAAAACCTATGAAAGTTCAACAAAAGTATATGACTACATTAACGTATATTATTAGAAATTTAGCACGTTTGTTATAAAGTATGAAAGGAAACAATAAATGAGTTATGGTTGATAACGTAATAAAACCTATTAGAGTTGAACAAAGTACATGACTATATTAAAGTATATTATTAGAAATTTAGTACATTAGTAATCAATTTTGGATGGAATGAGTTTTGGTTGATAAGTTAATAAAACCTATTAAGCTTCGAGTTTCGCAAATAAATTGTAATTTTAACAAATGGTATTAAATAATCTGTTTGCGCCTTGCATCCCACGGAAAATTTCTAGCAAGTTCTGTGTATACATATTGTGGTGCTGCATTAAAGCGACATCTCGCAGGAAGCATGTAATGGAAAGAATCCAATTAAAACTATGCTGTGTTCTAGATTGAAGTTTGCCCAAAACGAGCACCTCCCGGATAGATTCCAGGCTTAAAGCCTTTCAATTAATTAAAGTTGTGTAACTTTGTTAGGACTTTGCAGTGGCGCTGCGAACACTTATGAAACTGTATTGTGTTGTTGTATCGTACGTCTCTTTCTCTCTCACTCACTCACTCACTCCTTCCGAAGATTGACTTCACTTTTCATCGAATCGACTTCATTTAACAATGCACCAACACCTACCATTTGTTTTTGATGATTCATTAAGTTCATTTACGAAAACTTAATTTAATTAATTAAGTTAAACCAAAAAGCGACGATCAAATGAAACTTTCAGAAAACAAACAAAAGATCCAAAAGCGAGGATCGTATTTAAGTTACATAATGTAACTTATTTTATTCGTTTCAGAAAAACAAAAAATGTTCAGTCAAATTATGAAAAAAACCTCCGTATGTTCGAGTTATATAAGTTAATTATAATTCTAGAGAAATTCAATTTCACAGAAGAAAAACAAATATTGCGTATCTGTTTTTTTTTCCTTATAAATATACGAAAACTTTTGTAGAAAAACATAATCAAAATGAAAGATATTTTTTGTATAGTTAATTATTTGAAATTTGGATTTTTCAGAATTTCAAGTTTTAACTTCTGAAAACCAATAAAAATAAAATCTGTTAGGATTATGATAATTCTTTTAAAATTATATATAATTTAATATTAATAGTATAGAATATAATATTATGTAATCCCATTGAAACTGAGAATTCAAATTAGTAGTTGGCGTAATGCGTGTAAGTGACTTGCATTCTATTCACAAGCTATTTCAGAATTCTCGATTACGGTGTCACAGGTCCATGACTCGAATAGTCCTGAATACGAATTCAAAGACACGGAGCATGGTTGAATAGTTCCTTCATAACGCATACGCATTGGCTTAAACCGGAGTGGATTTAGTAGTGTTGATTCGGTTGGAAACGGACGGAAAAAATGTAAAATAGAGGAAAAGTGCCGGTTAAATTTAGTAGCGACATCGCGCGGATTGAGAAATATGTGCTGGTGCAATGGTGCAAGCAAATTCTGGCTAGCAAATTGCTTCGTTTCCTAGTTGGAAGCCGTTCGTAGGATGAATAGAGTCATTTCGTAGGTGATTTTGTTAGGCATTGAAAAATCGTAATTTTCAGACGAACGGCGGTTTGGCTTCTCTATACGTATGATATAGACTATGTGCATGTATGTACGTATATATATATATGTAAATGCGTGAGCGTATTTGTGTTTGTGTGTCGGCTTGTATCAATGGAGATCTTTGAATGGATGCTCCGAGGATCGATAGAGTTGAGCTTTGCTAGCGCGGGCATGTGTTGTATGTGTATGTATGTAACTATATGTGTACGTATTTATATGTGTATGCGTGTGTGCATGTGTGTGTGGCGTGTGTCTATGTGTATCCCAGTGTAGCACGCGAGCGCTAATTTTACTCCACACGCCATGGGGTTTATTTAAATGGGCAATTAATTTACTAAACATGGATGACGTGTTCGTAGGAATCCGCCAATAAATATTTTCTTGCCATTACTTACGACCTTCCGATTGCCGGTTTATAAATGTCATTCCGCAAACACGCATCAATCTGGATGATTCCACCTTGGAAAGGCATCATCTATTCAGGTGCCCGCCAACCTCTGAGCAATACCATTAATATTTCAACATTCCATCCAATGCTCAGTATTTTCATCTTCTACAACAGTTATTATTTTATAGAAACAATGAAATAAATTTTCAATACAATACATTTTTTTGTGTTACTCTTCAATTATTTACTTGATGTGTATTTTCATTACTAATTCAGAAATACACTTTGTGTTGCCACCAAATCACCAGAAGATAAATATCGTTTAATAAAGAAATAAATTTCGGAATACTCCATGTCCATTATAGTAATGTGGATTATGTAAGCATTCCCAAATGTTGTTCTTGGCTATTTTAAAATCATGCTAGAGTGTAATACAACCTGAAGTTAAAATGTCTTGATGAAAATGAAGAAATAGATTATAGCTTATTCCTCGGATAAGTAGAATTATCAGGAGATTATAGTTGCTAGATGTGGGGTTCATGAACTTATCGATATTAAAAGAAAAATGTATTTCGATGGCTCTTTCTAAGTACTAAATGAAAAGGTAAAGTCTTTAATCAGAGGATTAAATTAAAATTGCGAACTGGTGGTATATGTATCTGTGTGTATATGTGCCTTTAAAGTTTTTCATTCAGTGGCGAAGGAAGGAAACTTTCGAAACAGAAAGTTTTGCGAGAGCTGAAAAGACCTTTTCCTGCGAGCGTCGAAGAAATAACGGTGGAGCAGCAGATAAAGGTAGAAGTGGGTTTCTTTTCAAATCCCTGCATTTCCTCTCTCTCGCCTTCGCACGCAACTAAACTTTTTAATGGAGACTCCTTGCAGTGAACGACTTGCATCACCTACAGCAATGGATGTCTGAGGCTTTCAGCTGGACGTTCCACAATACCAGTTAGTCCTTTCCATCTCCGACTAAACAATATGTTACTACTACTCGGATTCACGTTTCCATTTCATCCGCATCATTTCCGTTCCGCTTCCGCAAATTAATTTCTAGTTTCATCTTGCAGTTTGGTTTTTGAAAAGGCTCTCAGTAACAAGAGCCACTTTCCGTTCTTCCTGAACTTTCATTACAACCATGCTATTGCGTAAAATGATTGAATCTTCTTCACAACTCATTGAAAACTTACAAATTTAAATTCTACATTTTAATAATGAAATAAAACATGCCATATTCTTATTTTACAATTAGTTTTTGCTATATATAAATCTACTGGGTATGCAATTAGTGTTGCTGTGTTACAGTAAATTTGTAAAATACCTACTAGTAAATATGTGCAGTCACTAAAATTTAAAAAATAAATGAAATGCTACCCTTTGCGGACGAGTGATTGATATATCCGCATTTTTATCTAAATTTTAGATATCAATGGCAAATGTCAAAATTATATTTATTCTGAAAGATTGTAATATTGAGAAAATATTTTTTGTTTGTTTTAGAACAATTTAGAATTAAATATAAACAGTTGTAGACTTTTACTGCTTTGTAGATACTAAATCTATACTAATTTTAAAAAGACGGTTTAGGGCATAAGCAATTTGGTCTTTGACTAAACTAGATTGTATATGGTATAATAAAGGTAAGGTAAATGTGCATCAAAACTACAGCTGTTTATGGTTGCCAATACGGACTAGGAATAGGACCAAAAGAGAGAGAGATAGAGAGATATTAAGATCTCTCAAAATACCGCATGCGTTCAACTACATCAGCAAAGTAAATAAAGGTATATAGATATGAGTTTACCAATTTTGTAGTGCAGCGCCGGTTTTGTTGGCAACCCTACAAAACAGAAAGTCGTATGTCAGACATAGAAAGGAGTCGAAGGTAGGAACATGTACGGTGGATCTTCGTATTTGGCCTGATATGGTTAGTATTAATAAAGTATAAATGAACTTACCAAGAACAGCTGCAGCAACAACACCAGCATAAGCAGCAGGGCTTCTTGCTCTGCCCACTGCCAATGCTATGACCACTCTTCGAAGTTGGCGGAGAAGCTGTGCTGGAGTTGCTGTCTTTACGACGACAGAGACCTGCTAATCCGCTGCCGCCACCACCATTCCCGTTGTCGTTACCATTGTCAGCCCCAGCGTTGCTAGGTCCTTCTCCACCTTTGTCATCGCTGTTCCTGCTGCCCTTCCTAGCCCTGTTTTCCGGGACACGTTTGCTAACACCACAAGGCATCTGCAATCAAAGTACACCCAGTTAGGGCACACGCATACATCCAAAATGAAGGATTGTATTTGAAAAAAAAAATATATAGAGAATAGAAAACAGTGCGAAATTACTTTTTTTATGAAGTTACACCAAGCCATATCCTTCAAGCAAGCCATTCAGTCTAGCCTCCGAGAACCTTCAAAATCTCCGGAAGCACAGGCGCTCTGCTCAATAACTCGGTGGTCAACTCTTGACGCTAAAAATACATACCCCAATTCAGCTTTGTTATTAATCATCACAACATCAAAAATTATCACACAATATAAACATATTACGGATCAATACCAACAACTTTCCAGACATAAAATTAAAATGTAATGAATGTAACAGTACATATCGATCAGAACATTAAGAAAATTAGTTAATTTTTCAAAAGAATTTTCCACAAAATGATTTTTTCAAAATTATATTAAGCGTGTACTCACCATTAAGATCTGACGAACACAAAAATATATAGAAACTGTAACTGAAAATCAGATTATTGAGCTAATATGTACTATTATGTAATTCCGGAAAGTTATTGCATTTACCCTTCAATAATTATCCACCATGCATGATGTGTGTAAAAATAAACAAACAACCAATAAAATAATTGAAAAATGATCTGAGGGTAAAGGTTAACGATGAATTGAATTGGTTAAGCGGCGCAACTTTTTCTTTCCTTCTATTATTTTTTTTCTCCTATTTGATTTTATATATTTATACGTTCGATCGTTCGTCTTCCTCCCAGCTTTTTTCCGTCCGCCGTTTTTCCCCACGGGTTTCCCGAGTAGAGCTTTCCTTTTGAATCGGAATTATTATTAGGAAGGTCACTCCCGTATCGATCGGATTTCCCGTGCCGACGGAATTTGGCCGTGAACGCAATTAACGCACGCCAATGAAATATCGCATCTGTTTTGCGGCCTCCGATCCGGAAGTAATGAATTTTTAGAGGAAATTAAAGTACGATGCTATGAGAAAGAATCAGGTTGATATCAAAGGCAGATTATGAAGAATGGAAGATAAGTGTATAATAATAGCCAAAGTGGAGTATTGAAAACGTTATGTGGGGCAGTGGAAAAACTTGAATGAAAAATTTGTTGTTCGTTCGTAATAGGTAAACAGGAAGCGCGGGATTGATTAAAAGAGACAGTGTTTTGAACTTAGCTCTGATGAAAAGATAAATTCCTTTAGCTGCAAACTATTCTTGTTATGAACTTCGCAGCATCGAGACTTTGAGAAAAAAAAATAGTTTTGTTGCTTCGAATGAACTCTTAAAATGTAGATTTCTAGATGATAAAAATATGTATATCTAAAATGTGTTTAAATTCTACTAATTCAGTAAAACAAATTGAAAATTTTCCAAATTGAATTCAGCAACTTTCTAGACGTAAAAAGTGAATAAGTTGGATTTAATAATATTATTTCATAATAGTGTAGGTAAAGAATATAAACTTTGCAGAGTTGCTATCAAATCAGTGCGAGTTTGCTACAACTCCTTGTGCTTGAAATCTGTCTTTAAGCCTCCTGTCGGATAATTAATGAGCGTTAAATGCTATTACACGCAGCGCGAACCCAACTTTACAAAGATTAATTATACGGTGTGCCATCACAAGACCCGAATTATAGAACGGCTTTATACCACTTTTTCATCCGAATCACTGATCTGAATGAAAATTAGACATAATTTCTTAACATCTTATACACTTTTTATTTTAAATTTAAATTATTAAATACAATTTCTTTTTAAAGGATTAAACGATATTTAAAAAGTTAAAATAAATTTGGTAATCCTTTCAACAGATGTTATTTTATGCCATTTTTTAAATATACATAAATTAATATTTCTTAATTACAAAATTTCTTATAATATATGAGATAGAACATGAGCAGTTGCAAGTGGGTGTACCACTAGATGTGTAAACCAATAAATATATGAAATCAGTGAACTTCAAAGAGACCTTTGATTGAAACTTGTCTTATTTGCATTGGTTTTCCCTGCACAAAGCTTCGGCCTGAGGTGCAGTTGGGAACAAATCCTCAGTTTGCCTCCAATGAGAAAAAAAGAAATGTATATAGGTAAAAGCGACTGAAATTTCTTCCGAACTGCTGAGGTGGTTTAATTAATACAAAATTACGTAATTCAATATCGGTTGGCGGAAGAATCGCGACGCGCTTGGGCGTTGATTAAATACGAGCCGCGAAGGGCCGCAGGTATTGTGTAACGCGAGCGTTTGATGGTTCAAGGTCGCGCTTAATGGGAACCTCAGCGTTGACTTAGAAGTATAAAGAAACGCGGAGTAAAAGAAAAAAAAAACAAGAAGATATATATTGAGAATGAGGAAGGAAAATTTTGTCTCTAATTATATTCACTAGGCTTCGTCGAATCCAAATCGAGATGTCAACCCTTTTCTTTTTTTCGTCCGCCGTTTGTAGAAAGGTCCAAATCGAAAATAGTTTACTTTCTCAAGCCTCCGATCTCCTGGTGTAAGTATTTTTAAGTTCGGAATTGGTTTCTAAAAATACACTTGACAGCTTCGAAAACAACAACAACAACTTCGGCCCATCTCGTAATTAAAATTTTCGCTTGACGTGCAAAACGCTTCCTCCTTTTGCTCTCCAGATTTTCGTGCGCTCTCAATTTAGAAAGACCCAAGTGAAATGTATATCAGATTCGAGTGGTTCAATTATTCAATTCCACTCAAAATACCGCAATAAAGATATAACCAATTACGCAGTTCCAGATAGACATTTTCTTTAATCTTGTAATCTCAAGAAACACATTTAGAGAAATCCTATATTTAAACGAATCTGAATAAATCATATAACCTTTGACGTTTCAAACTTATTGATTTCGCTTATTAATTGAATTATAATTAAATTTCCAAATATAATATTTCAAAACTTATCTTATATTTATATGGTCATAAGTTATGAATGTCAAATGAAATTTCAAATGGAGTTAATGATATTTGACAGCTTTTTATTTAAGTTTATGTAACGTGTGCAGATGATAATAGAGTTTACATTTTCCATCAACATTTTGACATGTGAAAACTTCATCACAAATAAGTTCCTCGTTTGTTTACAAATCAACCAAAAAGAAGTTCGAATGATCTCATCACTTCAATGTTTAGACATGCTTAAGCGTCACATTTTGCGTCATTTCATTCACTTATTTCAGTGAAAACGTCAAAATCATCTAGAAACAAAAAAAAACAAGAAATTTTTATGAATACATTTCATAGACCATTCAGAAAATGAATAACGATTATGCATCAAAGGTCAGTCCTAATTTGGCAAAAAATGTCATTTTGTATATTTTCAGTTATTTTTTTTACATAAAGCAAATAAAAAAATTGTATATAAATTTTGAAGAAATATACTTTAATTTCTTTTATTGTAAATTTGTGACAAATAAAAAGGGATTTTTTTTGAGTCCATATTTTTATAAAATTTATAGAATGTGTGAAAGGGGATTGAGAAAAAGATCAACGAGCAAAGAAAGAAAAGACGTTTGATATTGGAAAATACAGATTTTTTTTATCTCCTTTCGTGTATGAATAGCATGAAATATCGATATATATTTGTATAGACGATACTGGAATTATCCAATTCGTACTAATTGAGGTGAATCACGAGAGGGTTGTTTTTTTCACGTATTCCGATTAGTGGATCGATCGGAGTTTGGGGGTTGCGATTTTTTGATTCCTCATTCGAAACGTGACAAGTTCAACAAAATCGAATGCATTTCATGACCTATATGATGCACGTTCCTGTATGTTTTGTTTGTTGCCTTTCTCTGTTTCTCTCACTCATATGTTGGCCACATTCGTCCATTTGCGGATGAGAAATGGGGGTTGGAATATTTGAAATGCGTTCGGAACACGGACGAAAACAGAATAATGCATTTTGTGTTTGGCGCAATTAAACACGTTTCAATGGTAATAAAATACGAGCGACAGTTTTGCGTAATTTATTTATATTTCCCTCTTTTCCCTCTTCAAAATTTTTATTTATTTTTCTTGTTTTTTATTTTTCACTCTCTCTCTATTCGTTTAGTCCATTTTTTGTTGTTGTTTCGTCCGTGCTTTTCCTCTCTAAATTTATTATTATATTTCGTGCATCGCCTGTTTGCACTGGGTTTGTGTGTGTTTTTTAAATTATTTATTTCCTCGTTCAACGCGGATGAACTGTCCGACATAAACGGATTTGTACGTTTGCCGGAAATTCATTATCAAGCGCAACAGCGTAGAGAGAGGTAAAACCAGATTAAAACAACGTGAATATATCTATAGATATAGAAATATATATATATATTCATATAGATATATACCTACAGCAGGAACGTGCAAACAAAATAGATAAAATTCCGTGAGTTCGTGCGTTTTCCCGAACAATTATTTGCAAATATTTATTTTCAATTAGCATCGATCCCGGATTCCCATGACATTGCAGGAATTACGTATTTTTCCATTTCAGTTTCACTATTATATATTATGGACTTCATTTGTGTAGGAAAATTACTAGACAACCTTTAAAAAAAAAATGCTACTACCAAATACATGAGCTTAACATAGGTCACCTAAACTCTAAATATTGCATCATCAAATTTGAATTTATACATCAATAAAATTTTGAAAAATTAAAAGTTTCAACGTTTTTTACGATAAAAACTAATTCTTGGTAAAAGTTGAATCTTCAAAATGTATTTACTTCAGTTTATGTCACCATTTCTGATGATAATACTACTAATTTGTATAGTTGAATACCTTTACTTTGGTTGATTCTTGAACATTAAGATTAATTGGAAGTCAATAATTAAGATTCATTATTACATTGTCATGTCCAAATTTAGTTTGCTTCATTCTTAGTCAATTTTGCTGAAACTATTCTTCAATTAGTTTGTATAGCTTAATACTTTGGTTGATACAGATATGATTTTATAGTCATGTTTCAAGTAGTTCGTATAATAAAATATCTTAATTTTCTGAATGTGTTCATATAAAATTTTAGTATTAGTTGGTACAATTGGATGTATTTCATATACATTATTCATCTGTCATGTACAATGATTTTATTTTAAAATTTTAGATGGAGACTGACTGACGTGAGAATACCCATTCACGCTGTTGACTGCAACGGAGGTTAACTTTAACAAACTGTTAAAGACTTCAGTGATGCGAGTATTATGTAAGATATTTGCAATATTCAATG